GTCACAAGAGCTCACCTCAAAAAGAACAACGGCGAAGCGGATCTTAGCATCAAATTTACGAGCAGTGCATAGACTACAGCGCAACGTCTCCTCCATTAAGGGTGGAAGACTGAAACACAAGCAGAATCAATCCCATCAAATCGCCGGCGATTTTCCGATCGGCTCCAAAACCCAGTAAAACCACAGCATTTCCAAGTAGTAAAATGAAACACGGAAGATAATGTGCAGCTAATGGAGAGGCTGAGGAGCAGAAATGGAGGTGATTCGAAGCTAGTGGTGAAAGAGGGAACGTGGGGGTCCTCGATTTCTCCGACCCAGTAGAAATTTTAGGACTGATTCAAATCTGGAGCTCGTCAACGTGCGGCTAAGTGACCCCCAGAGCACGAATTTGGTCCAAAACAGCACCCTCTGCTCTCTCAGAAAAACGATGAAAGAGAAGAAGGAAACAGTGACAGTGAAGGGAAAGGAAAGCGCAGGATAGAAGAAAAATCGAAGGGATTGAGTGGGGGTGGGTGGGTGGGGAAAGATTAAATTTACACTCAAAAAATAAACAAAAATTTTCCCTGTCCCTTTAAAAGAAAAAAAATCCAATGCCTCAAGAAAATTAAAAATATATATAAAAATATCTGGTCGCTACCTTACCTTACCATACATTGCTTAGAACTACAAAAAAAACCCCATTTTACCTTACCGTCACGTCTGAATCTCTCTCTCTCTCTCTCTCTCTCTCTCAATTATACATTATTAGAACAATTTGGACTAAGTATCATTATTTATGTTCTTAATGATTTATTATCTCTAAAGTGTAGACTTTTACATTTTTTATAAAAAAGGTGAAGACTTTCTAAAATATACATAAATGAATATTTAAGAAACAGAGCGAAATGGTGATGATTATAAAGAAAAATAAATTTTTAATAATTCGTAGAAGTTAAAAAATCACACAGCACGCATGATGTATATATCATCAATATAAAAAAAAAAGTTGGAGATTTGAATTTTTACCTCACATGTTGTTTTACTATATTTATATATTATAAATTACAAAAAAAATACCGGTGAACTTTGTCATTTGTTTCAAAAATATTCTTACAATTTCAAAAGTTTCAACATCAGGCTTTACATTTGATAACATTTTTCGAAAATACCATTTAAGCAAGCATTCATTAATATTTTAAATGAAAAGTTGATGTGGCTGAATCAAGAATCACCTGACAATTAACATGTTTACTTATTAATATTTTTATTTTACCCTAAAAGTTTTCTTACGTTTCTCCATCATCTCCCAAATTTTACCCTACTCATTTTTTAAATATGGTAGTTTCTTACCCATTTCCTCCTTAATCCAAACAAACTTCTATACTAAATGTTCATGTGATTCCATATTTTGTCATGTCATCATTTTTCATTCAAATATCAATAAATTAAAACGTTTAAGAAACTTTTAAAGTAATAAGGGTTTTTTTAAAAAAACAAAATCCAAATATCATGGTTGTTTTTTTAATTTAATCTATATTATTTATTTAAAAATATAAAAATAACAAAATTTACACCCCCATAATTTGTAAAACATGCAACCAATATGTGTTACTTTAGAAATGATAGTAAATATATATATATATATATATATATATATATATATATTTTGTTTATAACTAAAACTGGCATTTCTTTTATATATGAATTATTTTTTGCGCATCACATTTATTAAGGACCAAATTTGACACCCACTGCTTTATCCAATCTCTAAGGATTAAACAAAAAAGGAAATCGATGCATATATACGGAATCAGATGTAGAGTGAAAATTAAAATCTATCTTTTCAATTTTTTATTTTTTAATATTTTGTTCGATTCTTCAAAATTATGTATAAAGAAAATGTAGTTTGGTCTGTATTTCTTAAACAAACATCAAATTTGTCCAAAAAAAACAAACAAACAAACATCAAACTTTGTATTGAAAAAAATTACAAACAAACATCAAATTTATTAATGAATATCTTGAAATTTGTTGTAAAATAATATAAATTCAAATAATAATTAAAATTAAGAAGAATGGGTCTAAAAATCGAGAAGAATCAATTACTTGGTCGACTTGACGCAGTTGCCGAGAAGATGGAAGGGGAAGGGGAAGGAATCGAAGCGATCTTATTAATTTCTTTGGATGAATAAAAGCCTTCGGGAGAAAAAGGAGCGCCATGGAAAAGGTAACTTTCTTCTTTTCGTTAGGTTGAAGAATCGCATTGATTTTGATCAAATTCAAAGCTTAGGGATAGGGATTACGTGAGTAAGCTTACTTGGTTTCGAACAATTGGCTAATTTTGGTTCTGCATTTTCTTCAAACCTACTTTTACAAGCTTTCATTTGAGAATATTTAATTTCTTACCATTTTCAAGCCCTCCACCCCACCCCCATGTGATACCTATTTGGGCTTTCTTTATCTCTCTGATTCTTTCTTCACAAAATCCAAGCCATGTGAATTGTTTATAGTAAATCAAAGGAACCGTTGAGAGAGGGGAGTCTGGAGGAGGAGAAAAATTTAGCAGAAAATTCTACGTACGGAACCTGTTTGTGAAAATGTCTGAGAGAGAAAAACCAACATTTTTCAGGACGTGGACAGGGGCTCTGTTTTGTTTTATTTTATTTTTCTTTCTGGGCATGTTTTGACTGTGGAACTGGAAAGGGACTTGGGGATCCAATCCACTTTGCTTTAATCGCACAATTTGCTCTTGCTGAGTGGAAGGATTTGACTGCAACTCATGCACACAAATAATGGTTTATTATTAATATTGTTAGTAGCCTGTCTGTCTAAATCTTTATGTCAATTATTAGAACTTCCTTCCCCCAGTCTGGTATTTACCCACTAGCTAGCTTTTTAGGGCTGAATCTTTTGTTAACTTTCTTTCAGATCTATTAAAAAAAATTGACCCAGATCTGAATCCAACCTCGATTCATTGATACCCATTTGAATATTCAACTCATCCAACCAAACCAAACAGTTCCTTCCATTAAAAACAAACTGTTCTTTCTTTCTTTTTTTATTTCAATTTAGCTGTCAGTAAATTCCTCTTCAACGTCAAGTGTCCTTGAAATTGTTAGGAGTAGTTGAATCAATTCTGTGTAACTGAACCCTCAATCGTCACTGATTCTCACGCCCCCCAAGCTTTATCCAGCTCCAACTTTCCCACCATTCTTTCCCGAGAAAGTGAAAGGGCCAAGAAAAGTTAGGTCGGGGAGATGATAAAGTTTTTGAACGTAAAACAATGGTGGGTGTGAAATCTGTTTTGATGTGGGAAAAAGTAAATGGATTCACGATCAGAATCATCCACCATTGGAGCAGACCAAACAACTTCTAACTAATCAATTTCTCCCCCATGGCTATTTCCCAATAACCAATAATAAAGCTTTGTTTCAATTTGCTTAGCTTAATTTGGTGAGGGCAGTTGGGTCAGTGCGTCTTGACATCATTTTACCAAATTAACTTTAATCACCATTAGGTTGCCTACTGTGCTTGATGATGGTTGCTTTTCTTCAATTAAAGATAGATATTTTGATATGCAAATCATCCCATTTATATCTCACGAATTTTATTAGGAAAAAGTTCACCAAAAACCTACTCATGCAGTTATCATAAACTCTAAATTATACAAATAAATGGGATGAAGATTCAAACTCGTGGCCTCTTCGTCAGAGACATAGCTCAATTACCGTTGAGCTAAGCTCATAAACTCTAAAATTCATGCCACTGTATTCAATCCAAGATTTGTAATGATCATATGAGTGTTCTTGTATTTTATTGAGATGAGATTAATTTCGTTGGTGTTAGATTTTCGGGTTACATGGAGCCCTTATTCTTCTAAATTTAAGTGCTCTAGTGCTTGAGTAATACTTTTATTTTTCCACTTGATTTAAGTAGATGTATATTTGGGTGTTAAATGGTTATGTGCATTTTTCTAGCTACTCTAAAACTTTTAGCATATATATTTTTAATTTTTAAACTTTATTTGATAGTAACTGTAAGTTTTGTTTTAAAAGTTATTTTAAAAATTTTAGTAAATTTGACCCATGATGGCCACTCACTTTAGGAATTAGTAATTCCTATGTGTTTCCCAACACCAAATGTTGTAGGGTAAGACGGTTGTCTCGTAAGATTAGACACTCACGGATATAAAAAAAAAAATAGCCCATTTGAACAACAAGTCCTGGGTTTATTAAGACTAATATTGTTTGTTTAAAAAATTTAATTAAGATTTATTTTAATTATATAGAACACAATTATTGTTTTAATTTAAAGTAATGGAATAAATAAATCTTAGGCTATCATTATTAGAGGTAGGTTTGGAATTTTGAGATTATATAAAAAATAAATAGGCCCAAAAAACAATTCTTTTAACTATCTCACCTATTAATATAGTATACATAAATATGCCCCAAAATTAGACGTTTAATTTATTGTCTGGATTTTGGGTTAATTATTGATTAGTTTTTCAGCAAATTTCACAACTTGACTTTAAGGAGAGTATTCAATGTCCTGCTTATTCAAGTCTAATATTTTAGATGATAAAATTAGAATTCTAAGGTTTAAAGTTAGTTCACCATACTAACTAAATTGAATTTTGCCCAATTTATTATTGTGCGATATAGTGTTTTTTAGGGGGAAAATTCAGTCCAGACTTTTCTTTTAGGTGAGATTTTTCATATATTTGGTTGACATACACTTTTATTTTCCTTTAATTAATTGATTAAATTAAACTTCCATTTGAAACAAAAGATGTGGGTTAATAGATGAAGAAATAGAAGCATGATTAGAGATTTGATGATCAAAAAGAAGATTCAAAGGACATAACAATAAAGAAAAGATGGGTTGGAAGTGGAACAAATGGGTGGGTGTGTCAATTGGAGGGGCCATTTTAAGTACCTTGATAATTGAGAAGCCCTACTCATGGCCCTCCCAAAAATTAAATAAATAAATATATATATATATATATATATATAGAAACTTCCAAAGGGAGGGAGGGAGAGGATTGTTTTGTCAATTGTTCTTATAAACATTTTTTATTTAATTGTTTTCTAAGGTAATTTTGAGTGAGTTCTACAAATGAAGATTATTGCCCATATGAAAATATCATTCATAATCTTGTAGTTTTAGTTTAAAGTAAGACGGGTCGTTCAGAATAGACAAGGATATAGATCTTATTTTGGAAAAATTATTTTAGTTTTGGTCGTTAATTTTTCTTTATTATTTAATAAATTTATATATTTGTCTAAAAATATGACACTTTTAATTAGCATGGGCGCATTCAAATATACTTTCATACATTCATTCATAAAATAAATGAATAAAAGACGCGTTGATATCAAGTTTCTATAGAATGATCTATAGTATATAAAACTAAATGAAATAGTTTGGAGTCGGGAGACCATGAAAGTTCATAAACCGAAACATAGTTTAACCCTTTTTAAAATAAATTGTAAAAGAAAACTTTATTTTAGAATGGTATAAACGACCCTAAATTATTAGAATGAGACTGAACCAAAAATAATAATGATGTGGTGCCCCGTATGGTGGCATAGAAATTTTCTTCAATTGCTTTTTATTTCCTCCTCCATTGACAAAAGAGAAAAAGTGGGCCTCTGCCTTTGGGCCCAACTTCCCTCTCTCAGGACATGACCCCTCAACCTCCTGCCCTAATTTCTGAAATTTCTTATAATTTTTTTTTTTTGTAGGGTGTGTTAATTCCCAGATGTGGGTCCCATACAGAATAACCAACCATACTATAAACAGAAATTAATAAAGATGATCGTTCAACAACATTTTGGGGTGAGTATTGGAACTAAGTTGGGATATATGTGTTAGGATATATGCCATGGAATTGGATCAAGTTGTACATCATTGAATCTCCAGAAAATTTGTAATAATCTTTTTTTTCTTCTTTGCTAGATTTTTTTTATTTAAATGATTTTCTTTTTTTTCGTGTTTGAATTATATTTCATCGTAACTTAAACACCCTAAAAATGTGAATTATCATCAATCATGTGTACGTAGTTCATCATATCAAATCGAGGAAATGAAAGGAAAAAAAAAAAACGTAACGAATTTTAAGAAGATATTAAACTTTAAAATAATAGGAAATTAAGGACAATATTTAGTTGAATGGGACAACAAAATTGGTGGGGAAACAGTCAGATTTATGATTTGTCTCCAGATTAGGAGGAAGAGCTGTTTCCACAATTTGTTGAAACAGCTGCCACTTCCTATTATTTTAATCTATATTTGTTTTTGTATAAATGACTCTTACACTAATTAAAAAAAAACGTTATTATTTTCCTTTTTTTTTTTTTACTTATAAACTACTTTTTTTTTCCTTTTTTTTCCTCCCAAATAATGGTACAGGTAGAACCTGGTTAGAAAGTCCAGTTGCCCTATCACCAGTAGGTTTTTTGACTTCTAGACCTTTACTCCACGTGGATTTAATTTAATTGGATTGGTCAAATTCAAGTAGTTAGCAATCTATTTCAATCTATTGATAGTTTAATAACCACAATAAAACAAAATTTGTGACCATTTTATTCATATCTTAGAGATATAGAAGATATAACTCAGTATGATACATTTAAAAATATATTTAATTAGATTAGAGGGTGATCAGAGGAACTTAACGTAGTTCCAAATCCAGGATTTGAAATTTGAATTCGATACATGAGACCAACACAAATTTTTTCTTTCTTAGAAAAATTCCTCTGGAGATCCTCAAACCTAAAATTGTTCCAAATCTCTCTCATTCGGATGTGGCGTTGGTTTGGTTTATGTACCCTACATTATTCCGAGACCCAATTAAAAAAAAATATATATTCAAAAGAAAGACATCTAGAAATAAAACATTAAGGAACTTTAGAATGGATTCAAATCTCATGATTGGTAATACCTTTTTCACTTCCTTGTGTTTTACATCTTAGCTTTTACAGAAAATAATAATAATAATAATTTACTATATTATGCGATGTAATGTTTTAAAACTTTAGGGGTTGGAATCAATTTGTTTGATTCTTTTTATGAGGATTTCACTCTAGGGGTTGGAATCAATTTGCTTGTGTTTTTTTTTTTTAATTTATTAAGAGGATTATTTTTAATCGAGTCTATTTTCTTAATAAAAAGTATTTTTATTTCATCTCTTATTTCTGTTACCTTTCCTTCCTTTCTTCCATCTTGATATGTGTTTTTGGACCGTTGAGTCTACCATTTTAATCGGGCTTATTAAATACAAAATTCAAAATTAAAGAGAGAATTGAGTAGATTAAAACTATAATTTAACATTTTTTTTTCTCTCTAAATTCTCTACAAATGCCATAAAATTATATTTGGAATAAAAAAAATTAAGCTCAAAAATTGAAACCTTAATTGACACATGCAAGTACACATTGAAATTTGTATATCGTGGCAGGTAGATAGTGACATGTCAATTGTTTTTTAATCTAAAATTAATTTATATGCTCATATATTTATCATTTTTTAATATAAAAATATATTATAAAATGGTTATTTATAGTTATAACTTATAGTGATATTTTAGAAAAACGTACCTCACGAAGCTGATTGAATCATGAATGAACCGGTGAAGGCCAAAGTTGTAAATACCCATGCGGAAGCGATGTCACAAGAAAAACAAACGGGCTTCATCACGGCCCAACTAGCTCTAGCGCCTGGGCCATTATAAGGCCCAATCCACAATAAGGTTCCAGTAGTACTTGGGCCTGGGCCTTTAGCTACTTATCTTTCTAAACATTTTTTTTTTCACTTTTCTTGTCATTTAGCTACTTAATTCCTGTATGGCTTCTTAATTTTGTGTCTTCATTTGGATTTTGATGACTCCATTCTATATGAAATTATAGCGACATAATTTAATTACAACAGTTTTATAAGTTTGGAGTTATTTTCTAGAATTAAAATTAAGTTGGTAAATCCAATATTCTTTTCGCCTCTTTAATAGTAAAATAATTTTGATAAAAGTGTTCAAAATATATACACAGTGAATTTAGAAAAAAGGCTTAAATATACCATCGTCTTTCTATTTTAAGTCATTATCAAGTTGGTTCTTAATTTTTTAACTTATCTATTTACCATGTATTAAAAAATTTTAGTTAGGTCATTTTTTTGTAAAAAAATTGATACAACACTGAATGATTGTGTTATTCATATATCTAAATGCATAGACATGCTACTTAGAAGGTTACTTAACACATAAAACTCAATAAGTCCATAAGCAAATTATGATCTGTGCTATTAACAAAATCCATTTATTAAAGTGATATGTCAAAACTGTATGTTTACATGTTCAAATATATTCCTAATAATAAGATAAAGTATAAAATGCACTTGTAATATAAGCTGAATAAGCAATAAAATATGGTGGCTCTTTCGAACTGTTTCATCTTGATTGGATCCATTTTTTTTTATCTAAAAAATAATTGGTAATGAAAAGAGTAAATCAGATAATAATGGCCTGGAGCTAATCAAACATTTATAAACATTTATAAACTTTATTGATTTTTCCATCTAGGATCCTTAATCCAAGGAGAGAAGTAGAAGAGGAGAGAGAAACGTAGGGGGACAAATTAAAAACTAAATTTCAATTTCAACTATCAAAGATGTCACTTTTAAAATTTTAAAGACCAAATAAAAACTAAATTAGAATACGGATTAAAAGTAATAGTTTTAAAATATATCAAATAGAAATTAAATCCAAACTTAGTGTGTTTTTTCATTCCATCCTATTTAAAATTGGAATTTCTTGCGATATTCATGCAAAAGACCTTTGCCTCTCCCTTCTTATTATTAATTTCTTTTTAGTACAATAAAATATGAAGGGGAGATTCAAACTCATTAGAGATTTGAGGTATATATCAATTATCGATGAGCTAAGTTCGTTTTGGCAAACTCACTACTTTTTGATAAGAAATAAATACCTTAACTAATTGAGCTAAGTTATTCTTTGCATCTTTTATAACTTAAATAATGAAACATCGATGATTTCAACAAGTAGTTCAGTTAATCAGTCAATCAAAATATACCATTAACTATTTTATAAATATTTTTAAATTTAGAATTTTTTTTAGTTCAACAACATGTGAAAATTGATATTCAACCTTCAATATTTTAGTCAATAATATATACCTTTTAGGCCCTCGACCACTTGAGTTAGACTATTTTTAAGTTGGCAAGCAAAAAAATGTCAAATTTAACTTTGAACTTGGCAAATGTATTAAATTTTAGGTTTAAAAAACACTTATATATGATCCTTGAATTTCATTGCAGTAACGATTTAGTTACTGAATTTTTGTTTGTAAGTATTTAGTTTTTGAACTTTGGATAACAATTTAGTCAGATTTTTCAAAACTTCATGGACATGCAGAAGAGAAAGACGAGACCCACTCGTCGGACCAAGACATAACTTTGACTTGTTCAAATAACAAACAATTAAGGTGAAGCAGGGTCAGGAACAACGAATCTCTTTATGATAAACAGATTCATTTTGCAAGTTCGGACTAATGACGTATACAATACTGGAATTCTCGATGTAGATGCTACATAGTGGGTTCTCATCCTTCAAAGACTACGAGCGTAATAGGAGCATCCATCGACAAAAGGATCACCCTAAGATGATCATCACATGGCTATTGAGAACGAATCAAATCAGATGGTTCTATTACGTTACTTTAGTTTATTACAATTTTTATTAATTCTGTATTTTAAAGTTTTCAATTTGAACACTACAAAACAAAAAATGTGTTTTCAAAATTTCCACCAGATTAATCTAAAAATAAATTTAAAAAATAAAACTGTCAAACAATTATTCACATGACATTCAATAAATTTGAGGGAAAAAAGGAAAAAAAAAAAAACAGAATCTTGTCATTTATATTTCTGTGTTTACAACTTATCAAAATACATGTATTAATAATGGGCTTTGGAGAAAGCCCATCCACGATCCAAACATCTCCACCTACCACAACCAAACACAACAAATCTGTCTCCCTCTTCTCCGGCACAGTTACGCGGCGGCACACTCAATCCACCGGCCGCGCAGGAGGACTCGGCGGCGGCGGAGAGGTGAACAGGAACGCAGAAGGAGGCGGCGGAGAGGTAAACCGGAACACCCACGGAGGCGGCGGAGAGGTGAACCGGAAGACCCATGGAGGCGGCGGAGAGGTGAACCGGAAGGCCCATGGGGGCGGCGGAGATGTGTGCGAAGGCTTCAGCTCCGGCGACGGTTCAGATCCATGGTCAAAGGATGAGGTGGCAATAGCCGAATCAGAGAAAAGAGGTAAAACCAGAAGAAACAGTAACCCTAAACCATTCATTTTTTTAATTTCTTTTATTTTTTTTCTGCCACTGTCAGTCTGTCACGTACTCTATTTATAGCCAAAACTACACGTTTTACATTTACCCATTTCCAAAACTGACCTCTCAACTATGGTAAACCTAGAAAATTACAGCACAGCCTGTAATTTAAAAACATTACCATTTTAAAAATCCTCTTAATATGGTACTTAATTTGTATAATTTTTATCATTTCAATAATAAAAATGCTTTCCGGTTGGAAGGGCTCCCATTTTAAATATTCACCCTATATTTATAATAATAATATATTAATAAAAAAATTGAAGGAGAGAATTGAATGGGTTCAAAGAGAGTGAACGGAAAAAAATAAAATTTATTAAAATTAATGTTTTGATATCTGAAGATTGGCATGCAATATAAACATGATTAATATAAAAAATGTCCGACCAAAGATCCTAATTTAGATTTGTGTAATTAAAGAATAAAAACTTGCGTTTATATATTTACTTATTTATTATGACATAAAAAATGTCATAATAGATAATATCTTGGAAGGATAATTCTTAATTTCATAAATGTCTCTAGTTTTCTAAATTTATATTTTTATATTTTTTCATGTAGGATTTTATTAATAACGTTTCTATCTTTATTTATTGTTTTTTATTTTATTATAATTTTAAAATTTAAAAGATTTAAATCCTTAATTTGTTATTATATTCATTTAATTATCGTGGCCCCGTTCAATTATTCAACCTAAATTCCTCACATTTCTCCCTCAAAAAAGATTTTATTCTCTCATCAATTAAGAACTTCCAAATTTGTTTGCTTCCTTCTCCGACCTTGATTTTTTTTCCCGACGTCTTCCTTTTTTTCGTGCATACATTCATCAACGTCAACAACATTGAAGTGCATACCTTCTATGTACATCTTCAGAGCTTCCATCAACGATAGATTTTTTCTTTCTTCTTTCCGTCGAGATTTTCTTCTTTCCATCGTCGAATAGACTTTCTGTCGACCTCGTTCCACGTTTCCGATGCTGTGCAGTGTGCTTCCGTCAACGAGGTATTTATTCCTTCAATTTTCGTCGCCGAATAAACTTTCCGTCGACGTCTTTAAACGTTTCCGACGCCTTCAGCGCGTTCCTCGTCTCCTGTTCCCTTCTGTTTTTACCATTGATACTTATTAGTCTTCCGTTAAGATTGATATATATGGAGATATATTTTATGTATGTGTACAGAAAATGTAAGTTCTAAACGTCCCACAGTCTTAATATTCCTGATTATATTCGTATATATAGGTATATATTGTATATGTGAATATATCTTATATGTGTATACATATATCTTATAATTCTGTAGAAATGGTCCTCCATAGCATTTGTAATTATCAGTGTTCCGTTAAGATTGATATATATGGGGATATATTTTGTTTATGTGTATAAAAAATTGAAGTTCTAAATGTCTCATATTCTTAGTATTCCCGATTATATTCATATATATAGGTATATATTGTATATGTATATATATCTTATAGTTGTATACAAGATATAAACGCATATATCCTATATATTTTTGGTGTTTTAATTTGTTTTGGAAAGTATTATTAACCTAAAATTATGGGATCTAAATTATAACCTTCCAATTAATCAATTTTGCATAATAAAATGAATTTAAAATTAATTTGTAAATACATACTATTTAAGTAATTTATATGATGGGTACCCTCCCAAATAGGGTTGATACATGACAAATTTGTAAATTCTATAATTCCATTCTTTTATATAATTAGGATCTTTAAATAGCCCATCAATGTACTAATCCCTCTAAAAATGTCCAACCAACTATCCTAGTCTATCGTATGATCCTAATAATTTAATTTTTACATAAATGAAGATATTCCAACCACATTTATTATAATTGTGCATTAGACCAGGCAGTTGAGATGTTTATTTTTTTGGTACAATAATTTTGGAACATGGGAGATGGAACCTTCGACCTTAAAAGAAGGAATACATTCTAATTACAGTTGAATTATATTCAGTTTGACATTAAAATATTTATTTTCTTTCTTTCCATCTGTAAAAGAAATAAAAATTGTGAGCTCAAAGTTAAATCTAATTTAAGATTTTGAAAAAGAAGGAGATTAAAAATGTATTTAATTATAAAATATAGGTTAAGAAAGAGAGGCGCCAACTACTACTTCCAATGGGGAACAATGAATGAAAGTTTGGAATCTCGTGCTTTGTGTAAATAGGGGAAGAGGAGTGTTTATTTGGAGGGAAACTCGGGAATTTCACAAATAATGATTACCACTAATTACTTTTTTTTTTTTATTTCTTCCTCCTAAACACCTATTATTCAATCTTAATCATGTACTATTATAACAAATTATAGCCAAAAAACATTATGATGGACCTACCTCTTATTTCTATTCTATTCGATTATTAAATTACACCTTCATCTTGAGCTAGGGTTTGTCTATTTAAGTAATATGGGTTGGGGTAACCAAATAATACTATTAAGATAAATTTTGAATGAAGTATCGTGATTTTATGTCTACTTTCTCCATATCTAACATGTATGATATGTGACATATCATCAACCATTAAATCCAAATCACTGATATATGACTAGGGATATTACTTTTTCGTACTGGGATGGGATTCGTCTCAACGGGACGAGAAATTCCTGTTCAGTTTCCCACAAGGTAGAGATGGAGGGACATTTTGTTCCTATTACCAAAATTGAGTTAGAAATGGAGAATGCATTCATTGCCTCTTCCTCTTGGTTCCTTGTTTTCTTTAGATGGTTTACATGGAAACAAACTGAAGGACCCTATTCAATTTAGGGTTTTTAGTTTTATTTTTTTTACCCTTCTTTGCATTTTCTAAAATATATAGAGTCTTAAAGGTGTATGAGAGTGATTTTTGGACTGTTTTTTATAAAGATAGTTTTTTTATTGAAATAACTAGAGAAAAGCATTAATAGCTACGTCAAAACATAATCCTCTTTCACCTTCTCTAGAAGCCAAACGGAGAATGAGAGAGCCAAAGGAAGGAACATCCAACCTCAAGCCTCTCTAGCAACAAGATGAGCTACAACATTTGAATCTCTACAAACATGCACAAAATCAAATGAGTCAATTAGACGTTTTCTACCAACTTATTAAAGTTAAAAGAAACTCATTTTACAATTTTTAGAGTGGATGGAAATACCTATTAAAGACATCCTTTTAAGTTTAGAGATTACAACTATAATTTAACTTTTTTAATCTCTTTTCAGAGTTCTCCACCAAAGTCAAAAAATGTGTATCTGGAATTAAAAAATTTTAGCTAATCATTTGAGATTGTATCGTGTATCATCTTCTGCACTAAAAATGAATAATTAAAATGAATATAAAATTTATAAAATATTCAACCCGCTATTGGAACTTAGAGGGATGAATAGAAACCTTCCCTCAGTACTCAGCACCAAAGGTGTATTTTATCCCAAAAAAATAATATATATATATATATATATATATAAATTACAACTTAGCAAAATTAATGAGTTAAAAAAAAAAGCCCTTGGCAAAATTAAGGTATTACTAATGGGCTTGGAAAAAGCCCATCCACGACCCAAACATCTCCACCTACCACAAACAGAACAAATCTCTCTCACCCTTCGCTTTTACTTCCTCTTCTCCGGCATAGTCACGCGGCGGTTCAGTCAATACTCC